ATCAATGAATATGCATGTGTTCAATATCTACTGCATGCCTGGCTGTGCTCAATGCCTTCAAGAGCCACAACAATTCCTGAAACATAATCATATTGCCATTTACCATATCAGCCAACTGACCCTCTGAAATAGTTAATCAAATTTGCCCAGCATTACCCAGATTTTAAGTGATAATGCCAAAATTTGAAACTTAGTTTTCTGACTGAGAGGAATACAAACAGATAAACAGAGAAGAAAATGTAAATCACAGCCAAATGGGATACTTGAAGTGCAAATCAGAACTAGGTACAGTCTTTAATTGTGTGGAAAATGTAAATTGCTACTAAAGATAGAATTTCCAAATTAAAGAAATTGAAAATAGAGTGTGCCGTATATTGTCTTTTGAGTGCTGTGCACAGCTCTTAATATCCAGTGTTAAATGTCTTAGCAATAGTCTTTTATGTCTGACAAATTGTCTAAGAGGTTTTGCAGGTCTGTCAAGGTTTGTGCTTTCATATAACGCAAAGTTTTCCAAGCTAACTCCAGCCTGTAATTTGTTCAAGTGTATCTTTTCTTCACATGGTTTGGTTGAGCCATAGGAAAATTCAGGGGAAGCAACGCAGTATGCACGCCTGCATTCTACTTGTAGAATAAATTGACTTATGCAAAATCACTTAATCACCATCACATAGGATCAAAAGAGGAGTGAACTGGTCACATCCCTTAGGTCAACATAGTTGAAATTACATAGCAAGCCCAAGGAATTACAATAATGATAACTTACATTTGTATAATGGATGCTAATATCCTGAAATCTTATACCTATATTAATCTTTCTTTTTAAGTATGACTACATAATCATTAAGCAGGTGTTCTGTCTATTTTATTGTCAAGGAACAACCAGGTATGGAAGCTAGTCTCCACAGAGGGCCCCCCGTGAACCACGCCTCATAATATTCTGCTCTTACGTGATCCTTTCCCACACTGAATTTGGACCTATGCAACAATCTTGCATGTTCATCACATGTACCCCAAAACCTAAAATGCAATAAAAAAAAAAGGGGGAAAAAAAATGTGGCCATGGTTTCACCATGTAACATTTGCAACTTTTGCCTTGGTTTCTTGGAACATTCTAGGGAAAACCAGGTACCATATAAAAAGTTCCACCAATAACTCTTAAGTCAGCCATGCTGCGAGGAAACCCAAGTTTGCCACATGGAGGTGTTATAGTTATCCCAAATGTGATTAACCAAGCCATCTTGGCCATCCAGATGAGGTTACTCTTTAGATGACTACAGTCTTAGCCACCATCTGAGTACAACCAGGTAAACCCCTAAGCAAGACTTTCCCAGATATTTCCAATTTATCCACAGAACCATAAGTGGTAGCAGATTGTTTCTTTATACACAAAATTTGGGAGTGGTTTGTTATATAACCTTAGGTAACTGCAACACCTGGTCTGTTTAGCTATTACTGTTTTTCCTGTTGCACCAAAAACACTACTAAATAAGGAGCATGACTTCAATCAACTCTCAGCTCAGTATCTGCTTTATAAAGAGAACTGTGTGGCACAATGGTCTCCACAGAAAGCAACAGACCTTCACTTGGAGAGCAAGTGATTAGACAACAGATACATGGTGTGAGAGACATTACAAAGTAGTTCTGAGTTTTCCCTTGGATTCTGCCACTACCTACATTATTTACTCCTCCAGGCCTCAAATCCTTCTGTAAAACAAGAAGTTTGGCTAAAATGACCTGTAAATTCCCCTTCAATTCTATCAACTGATGGAGCTGCTGTTGTGTATATGTATTTTATTATCTCAAGGGAATACAAATAAAAATGTTGACAATTGTCATCTCTCAATAATCTTGCTAAAAGGCTCTGGTTATTATACAATGGGCATGCATCCGTTGGGCAACAAAAATCCATGTATTTTCTTTGTTTTCAAGGGAGCATGCAGAAAAGTAAGCATAAGACAAGATGAATGGACTAGATAATAGAGTTACTCTTTGGATTAATTACCTATTACTTAACAAATTGCTACAAATGTAGCAGCTTAAATCAGTATACACCTATAATCTCCACTTCCCTGGGCCAGGAGTTCAAGCACATCCTATATCTTCTGTAGCCTTCCCAAGCAGCAATCAAGATTTCAGACAGACAACTTTCTTATCTGGAGCTTAGGGCCCTCTTCCAAGCTCACGTGTTGTCGGAAAAATTTACTCTTTGAAACTGGAGGATTGAGATCTTTGCTTTCATGTTGGATATTGGCTGGGGACACTCTCAACTACTACTGGTCACTGCAGTCCCTTGCTACATGGCCCTCTGAAAGGCCTCTCACATCATGGCAGGTGATGCCTTCGAAGTCAGTAGAAAAATCTTTTCAGTGTGCTAAGCTGGAGTCTTACATAGCACAATGTCATTGTAGTCCATCACCTTTGCTATTTAAAGTACCCTAACCCAGAGAGTAAATTAGTCATCTTATTTATAATTTCTGCTCATATTCGAGGCAAGGGGCTCTATGCAGGGCTTGTATACCAGTGGGTGGAAACCTTGGGAACCATTCTAGAATTCTGCCTGCCACAGCCTTTTTGCTGATATTTATATTAAGTTCCTGGTATATATTGTTGCCTTTTTTGTTTTCTAACTCTTTCTATGAAGAGACATGTTGGAGAAGAGATTCTCTTTTGCATTGAAAGGCATTATAACCTAGAGGCAAATCATTCTATTTATGAAGAGAATGTACAGGGAACAAATCTGGCTCTACCATTTACTAGCCATGTGACCTTGGGCAAATGACTTAATGTCTCTTTGCTTTGGTTCCCCATCCATATATAAAATTAGTAAAATAGTAGCATTTATCTCACAGGTTGACATGAAGGTTAAATGAGATACTACGTAGATTTTAATAAACACATGGCTATTCATCCTTTACTTTTTGTAGAACATGACACCAGCCATGAGAGCTAACTAGGAATTAGAAAGACTTACTTTTATATAATTGGAGAGTTTCTGAAATTGTGATCATTTATATTTGTCTGTGATTCATTTTCCAGTAAAATCCTCATAGAATCTCTGTGAAGAAGGTATCATTATCCCTATTTTAAAGAAACGTACTGGAAATTGCCTGAGGTCACATAGCAGTGAAAAAGACTGAGAAATAAACTACTAAATTCACGTCTCCAGAGTCCACGGTCAGAGCTCTTTTCAGTATACCAAAAGAAGAGCTTGGAATTAGGGTGATTTGCTCAATTACTAAGTATTTATAGCTCTTATGTCAAGTATTGTTACTATTTGATGGGGATCTAATGGTAAACAAACACAGGAAGCTTGTATTGATGATTTCCTCTGGGGTTTGTGAATATTTAATAAAACAGCATATTACGAAGTACCTACCAGCGTCTGTGCCAGAGAGGGTACTTCCAGGAGGCAGGCCAGATCATGAGGCTGGGGTGTGGTAGGTGGGGCTTTCATGTAAAACTGACAACTAGTCTAGAGTTACCCTTCAATCTACAAACAGGTATTAAAAATTCTTACTTACCATGTGCCAGGCACTGTGTTAAGTGCCAGAGGGTTGCAATCAAAGGAAGAGTTATCCATATACTAGTTCTAAGTGGAATATTTATCAAGCAATAGAGATACAAGACATTGCTACATTAGATGAAACAATATATTCATATTTGTTGGGCTCGGAATTATTTTATGGAAGTGGAGTTTAGGTTTGATATTGATGCATTGTACTGTGTTGGTAGTCTGATGAGCCAAGAAAGGAGCATACTACTGGTAACAATTTCATCCATGATTGTATTTAACACTGCGATTTGCTAGCCAATAAAATAGACATTCTCTGCTATCTCTCATTTAATTGGAAGAATTCTAATAACCCCTGGCTTGATCATATTATACATTTAAAATACAGAGAGAATAAAACATACATGCAAGGTTAAGATCTTAGAATGGGTGTTCCAGATGCAAAGCCTGAGGAGGGGATTCCTGTATTCTTGAAAAACACATTTACTGAGAATAGAGTAGCAGAAGAAATGGGGAAGGTAATGTGGGAAAAGGATAAAGTTTGGGAAGAAACAAGCAGAAGTAGCATTTCAGGGGAAGTCTAGCCTCAGTCTGATCTCACATGGAGCTCTAAGCATGAGTTGCACCAGAGGCTGTTCTGCCCAGAGGCGATGAGGGTGCACTATTACCCTAATACCCCCGTGCTCCATCCCACATTGGTCAGTCAATCATCAGTCATGCCCTAACTTTAGGAAAGCAGGGGAATGGGGTGGGTAACACTTCCCAGGCATCTTCAGGTGGGGAAACTCCTGCCAACGAAGTGAAATCCTTCAGAAAATAGTACAGGGTGAGCCACCAGAAGCCGTCCTTTGTAGCAGCTGGGGCTGAGAGCACTTCCCTGGTAAGTGAGGTCTGGATGGAGCATGAACAGCAATAGCTGTAGTCACACAGCTGGGAAGCAAGTAGAGGAGGGAAAAAGACAGTGCATGTCTGCAGAATGGTTCAAATGCAGTTTTGGTCTGTCTCCTAAAGTCCCAAACGTTTTTAACCACTAACATATTCACGGAGTTTATACTTTTTACCTACTTTACCTCATTGAATTTGAGTTTTCCCCCAAACAGAGTAAAGTACATTCTCGGCCCATTTTTATCGAGAATGAAATTGAGTTTCTCAGAACCTGAATCTACAATCTCATGGCCAGTGATTGGTAGAGTAAGGAGGCACACCCAGGTCTTCTGGCTCTCTCTCTCTCTCCTGTGATCTAACTGGGACACTGGGCAAAATGGAGTAACGGTCTTGATGTCAGGGAGAACTAAAGCACCAAGGTAATTTCCTACATCAAAATATTTTAGTGAGGCAACTAAATTGGATTATGTCCCTGGTTTTGGCCTTCTTTCCTAGTGCGCTGTTCAGAGAACTCTGTTATGTTGTTCTGGCCTTAGCTCAGGCTGAGTCTTTCTAAATCAGCTGCTTCCAGTTAGAAGCATGTTTTATCTTTTATCACTTCTCTGTTGCATCAAATCCCAGCCACTGCTTTTCTTGAAGGTGATCTTGGCATCACCCTAACTGTCCAAATCCAAAACCCAGATGCCCATAATTTCCTTTACAGTCTCTGCCTAATAGACAGACACATGTTTTATGTCTTCCTCCACTTAGCCACAAATAGATGGGCCAAAAAAAAAAAAAAAAAGCAGAGTAAAGACATTGGAAACAAAATTTTATTTGTAAGAAGAGTGTCTCTATCAACATGGGCAAGCCCTTTAATTTCTGAGTTTCCCTTTCTTTAAAATTAGTAGCCCATTTCCTAACTCTCAGAGTTGTTATACTGGTTAGAAGCAACATATTTGAAATACCAAGAACATGGCAGGTGTGCAATAAAGGATAGTTATTTTTATGCGACAGATACAGCTGTCAGGAGCCAAAGACACATGGGAGCCTGCTAAGTAAGCATACAACACTCCAGCCTTGGGAAGCAGCAGCCTCTCATTGAGTTTAACACATTTGGCATACCACTTAGACAAATCTCCTGCCTCCCTCTACCTTCTACCCCCCGCCTTTCCCCATGACCACTGTCTTGATGTCTAAAGCTTCCCTTGTTAGGAATGCCCAGCTCTGGTGGAAATCACACCATAAAGCCTTTCCATAGGAAGGTCAGGGTCCCTGTGGCCCACAAATTAAGTGACCTGCCCTGCTGTTTGACCTCTGGGAAGATTCTCCATCTCTTAGCATTTCTGACAAATGACAGTCTGGAAAGAGTCTTTGATATTTTCACCCACTCATGTGATATGTGATATCAGCATTTCCCATTTCTGGACTATTTCTCTGGTGTGAGCAAGAATCCCTTCTTCTGAAAAGAATGATTTGAGGTCAGGGCAACTTTTTAAATCTCGGTTTCCTCTTCTCCATAAGGGGCTAGCTGATTTCTCTCAGGGATGTTGCTGAACTGAATGCCAGACCATGAAACACACCACCCCGCCCAGACATGTGTCTTTTCCCTTGCACTGCAAGACCCTGTGTATTTTTATTAAAACCCAGAACAAATAGTTAATGATTACTAGTTCCTGTTGTATTTTTTTAATATTCTTGAGGACTTAATACCACATTGAGCCTGTGGTAGGGGCTCAAGAAAGTACAATTTTAATGAATAATGGTGACCTGTGACCCCACCCTTGCAAGCAGCAGGCACGCTGGGCATTGGCGTCCCCTGCCTGCATCTCTTTTCAGGTGGGCAAACCTCCCAGGACAGAAGGAGTAAAGCGCCTGGTGCTCAGAGGCACATCACTTTTCCTAAACTCGCTAACTTTCAGGCTGTGAGCCGATAACTGAATGGTGTCAAAAGGATTTCAACCCTATCTTATTCCAGGAGGGGCTGACTCTGGAATGCCATGTGTGGGAATATTCCGAATCTAATAGCTGAGGCTTGGCTCAGTTGCTCTCAGCTGCCTCTCTGGAAGGACCCACCTATATCAGTCTGGCACCTGTCTCTGTTAATGGAATTGGTAGGAGGCATGTTTGGGAGGGATCCATGCCTCTTAGGTTCCCATGTCACTGCATTTTGGCTCTATCAGGACAGGTCAGGGTCTACTTCAGGGCATCCTTTGAATTTCACAGTGATTGGTGAGATCTATTAATAAATACCTTGGGTTAAGTCTGAGGTGATGGCTTCTTACCTTTTCAAGGACTGGCTGGGGTTGTACCAAAAATGAATGAACAGACATTGCTACTAGGACCTCTGATTCCTTGCTCATGGTAGACTCATTAGAACATAACTTTAGTCATGATTCTGCACCCCTAAATAAAAACATATCGAATTTACATCCACTAATCATTTTACACTGGACAAACCCCTCCATCAATGATGCCAGCCCCAGTAGGTAGATTATATTCCATGTGCTGGTCCTGTCTTCCTCCACTCCTACCCCCAGCTCTTGTACCAACAGTTCATGCTTCAACTAGACCATCCCTGTTAGGGCACAGAACTTACAGGCAGTTTGCAAAGAACATCTTCTTCAGAGTCAGAGACTCTCATTGCACTTTCCTTTCAGTCACCATATTCCTGAACAGGCTTGGAAACTTGACTTAACCTGTCTGGGCCCTCTTATTTCTTCAGTTCTTCAATGAGTGTGATAGAAGCAAGATCCAATGACACGCTGCAGAGGGAGGGTCTCTGCCTATTGAAAAGTACCATGTCCACCAGGAGCCTGCTGTAAATATTTTTGCTACTTCCTCTGGGGAAATGATGGTTTAATGACAACTTTAATGGATTCTAAAGAAAGAGGAGGGCATCCTCTCTGCTCTCTGTGCATGATATAGGGTGGGGCACAGGCCATGCTAAGGTCAGGTTGGGCTGGAGCTGCTGAAACATACCAAGGTGACTCACTTCCCTGATAACACTGCTGAGAAAAATGCAGGCTTCTTCTTGCCCTTCCTGTAGCTGGGACATACCTCTTAGGATGGAAGATATTTGGCACCTGGGAAGAAATGTCATGTCAGGTCAGGAAGAACTGGCTCTGAGTCTGGGCTTTCCTTTTGAGTTCAGAAAAGGTTGGGTAAAAAATAAACACATAAATAACCTGTGTTTTGGCTGTAAGTGGCCTCTAAGCCTGAGCTTATAGTCAGTGTGACCTTGGGCAAGTTTCTCATGTTCTCTGAGCCTATTTCCTCCTCCCTGAAGTTTCCTTCATGATATCTGCATCCTGGGGTTGCTTGGAGAAATTTCAATGAGTTCTTAAGTGTAGGAGATGATTAATTATGTCCATTTCTGTCATTTTCCTTAGGCATAAACTATGTCTGGAAACCAGATTATTTTGGTTGTTTGTATTTTCTAACTATAATGAATGTTTTATTTTTATTAAAATGTCCAGTGTATTTAATTCTGCAAAAAAAGCTGAGCTGTGTGAAGAATGCATGAAAAAAAACTGAGACTCAGAAGGGTCTGTGTGACCGTCTCCTACACCCTGGCTATTCAGGGGCAGAGGTAAAAGTGAACTCCAGCCTTTTCTCTGGGGACAACTGCAGTGGCTCTCTTACATGCTACCCTCAACTCTGCCCTTTTCTCTTTTTAACTTCAACCCTTGGGAGCTTAAATTTTGTTTCACATTCAGGACTCCAAATTTAGAGTTGACTTTGAAACATACACATATTTATGTCTCAATACATATGGAATATATGTCTATAATGCCAGTGGATCCTTCGGTAAATAAGCAGACTTTCAGACTAAGCAAAAAACTACTACCCTTCTAGTCAGCTTTTCAAAGAACCTAAGGTAGGAAGACACACATAGATTTTGCAGTTCCTCTTTTCTATTCTAATTGGCTTTCTGGAGGCCAGCTGCCACCTGGGGCAAAGTACCCAGGCCCAAGATCATTCTGAAGGCCAGGGGTTTAATTCTCTCTATTGTAGGTTGCCACCATTGCTGAGATCAGAAGCATATGCAAATATACTTTGAGGCCAAGATGGATCCCAGGGGGCCTCTAGTCAGTCACTAACTGCTTCTCCATCCTGAATATTGCTTTGTTTACTTGAAGTTTACGTGTGGCTAAAATCCGCATTCAGCTACCTGCTGAGTCAGAAATGGGTAATACTGTGACCTCCAAAAGTGACAAGGAATCTCCAAGGAGATAAATCTTACAATCTAAGTAATAATAAATCTGATGATCACAATGAGGCATTAAAATTAAAAAGAGCAATGCAGAAAAGAGAGCGGGGAGAGAGAATTATAACAGCCATGAAAAACATGGTTTTTTGTTTTTCTTTTTTTAAGTAACAAATAATCTAGATTTTGCAATGAGTGTAACACAGACAGCTATTTTGAGTTGGGGGCAAGTTAATTATATTCAAAAAAAGATAGCGTCTCCAGAAAAATCTTTTTTTTTTTTTCAGTGAAATAGTTTAGTTCCTTCATATAGAGACATATTACACAATGTTAACAACCATGAAAAACAATACAAAATGCCCTCCATTTAACAAGTAGAAAAATATAACTAGTATATATGCCAATTGTGAATCTAATACTGTACAGAGTACTTTATGGATTTTTACAAATAAATTATACCTTAAATGCTTTCTTAAAATTCTCCCCGCCCCCTAGATGTACACCAGAACTTACAGTAGGAAAGTTTCTGAGCTTAGCTTATTGCAAATCAGTGCCAGTCAAATGTCCTGCCAACAAGCTCGAAGAATTTCTTATTTGGCTCATGAAAATATTCGTGCAGTTTATTGAGTAGTTTCGGATCCACCTGGGGGTGCGCCCGGCCTTTGGACTCATGTAAGCAGCGGTCCCGGCCGCTGTCCCGCAGGCAGTAAAAGCCCTTGGTTTTGTTAAAGTAGAAGTTCGAGGCATTGATCTGCGGCGACAGCTTCAGGAACCTCTCAACCTTTTGGATCTCGGGGAAAGGGTCCCTGATGAGGCGGTCGCCGTCCACGATGTGGATGTGGCGCAGCGGGAAGAAGCGCAGCCAGTTCTGCATGTGCACGTGGTAGAGGCTGCGGTTGAGGGCCTTGTAGTCCACGTTGAGCCGGCCATCGCGCACCAGGAACTCCTCGATGGACGGGTAGGGCTTGCGCTTCTGCATGTGGTTGTAGAACACTTGGGTGTAGTCGGAGAGCACGCGCTCCGACGGGTCTCGCAGGATGAGCAGCAGCCGGATGGACGGGTTCATGCTGTGGACTCGCTCAGGCACTTTGGGCGACGTGAAGTACGCGGGGGTCTTTTCCACCGTGAGCTGGTGCGGCCAAGAGAAGGGCATCTGGCTGAGGTACCAGCCCAGGCCGTGGCTGTAATGCTCCTCCCAGTCGAAGAAGTGGACCTCGTTCTCCGCGGCCGCCACGTCGGGGTGCAGGCTGAGCATCTCCAGCAGCGCGCGCGTGCCACCCTTACGCACGCCAATGATGATGGTCTGCGGCAGCTGCTGGGCAGAGCCATTTGGGGCCAGGCCTTCGCGGACGTCATCCTGGAGGGTCCCCGCTTTCCGCAGAAACTCCTGCTGGCCCAGCTCGGCGGGGCGGGAAGGCACTAGCTGGGGCTGGACCAGCAGCAGCACCATGCCCAGGAGCAGCGCGGCCATGCTGGACACCACGGCGGCTTCACTGGGCCGCGCGCCGCTGGGTCATGAAGCGCCGCAGCAGGGAAGCCTCCCAGTCAGTGGCACATGGGCGTCTCAGGCCTTCAATTAGGAGGGGACAAAAAGGGAAGATATTAACATAATAAATGCGGGGTCATTCGACTAGCAACTCTGTAGCCACTCTGCAGCGAGGGCTATATTCACCTCCCCAGCACTCTCAGTCTCTTGTCGTATATGGGAGCGGAGGGCAAACATTTTCTGCAAAAGGACAGAGACAATACTTTGGGCTTTAAGGGACATACTTTATGCCAACTCCAACTCCAACAGTGCTATTATAGATGGAATGCAGCCACGGACAACACACAAGGGAATGGGTGTGGTTGTATTCCAAGAACACTCTATTTGTGGGCACTGAGTGAATTTCATATAATTTCCACGTGTCATTAAATATTATTCTCCTTTTTACTATTGTTATTTTTTGCAATCATTTATATGTTTAGCTGTTTAGCTGCATAAAAAACAGCGGTCCCGGCTGCTGTCCCGCAGGCAGTAAAAGCCCTTGGTTTTGTTAAAGTATAAGTTGGAGGCATTGATCTGGGACAACAGCTTCAGGAACCTCTCATCCTTTTGGACCTTGGGGAAAGGGTCAGGTTTGGCCCACCAGTCAGAGCGTGCTAACCCCTGCTATAAAGGAAAGGATTAGGAAGACACTTTGGAACTCAGCAAATGTCAATAAAAAATCTGCTACCCAACAGTCCCTGGCAGAAGGCAGGAGATATAGAAGCAGGCTTTGTTTCTGCCCCCTACTCTTCTAGCCAGGGGCTCCTATCTAACAGAGCATGTGAATTAGTATGAAAGAGTTTATGATTAGTCCCCATTCTTCACCTTGTATCCAACCCTTGAATTGGCCTTGCCACTAGCGTGTGAGCAGATGTGACAACTCACCAGTCCCCAATCTGGCCGCAAGAGGCTTTGTGTGTTTTTGCTCACCCTCTTTCACTCTTGCCTGTGCCATGAGAGAACTATGTCCTGTTTAGTCCATGGTCGCAAGGGGAGGTTGAGAGACACACATAGCCATCCCAGCTCATGAGCGAAGATACATGATTGTGGTTTTAAGCCACTGAGGTTTGAGGTGGTTTGTATTGCAGCGGGAAATGGGCAAAAGTCAATCGTTGCAACATGGCTATAGGCATCAGGGTGATATATGTTATGACTGTAATTTAGGTGGGGTGCTCTGAAGACACATGTTCATTCATTTTGCCTGAAATAATTGGGGATGGTTTCACAGTAGAGGAAACATTTGAAGTAGGCCTAGAGGGATCACCAAGTGAAATTACTACAAAGAGCAAAAAGCCTTCATGTGTACAAAGCTTTACTATTGATAATGTGGCTTCATACTCAGCTCAGTTGATTGTCACTACAACCTGACATTAAGGTAGGGAGGCAAGGTAGATGTCACCACCATTTTTAAAGGGCAGTTTGTCTAAGGACACAATTATATTAGTCTGTTTCAAACTTCAGCGCTCCAAATTCAAAACTCTAAACTTGGTGTTCTTTATCCAGAAACCACCTCTTTTCCACAAAACTTCTCCTCTTACCTACTTAAGATTTATAACATTTAGAAAGTAAAGTCTCTCAAGGACACAGGAACTGCTGGCCTAGATGCTGTGGGGCTCCGCAAGACAGACTAGACAAGGGTTTATGTTTTCAGAGAGCTGATACTCATCAATCTGTGTTTCACACTCTCCCCAAAGGAGGAGACTGGATGCTCTCACTTAAGTCATCTCTGTTAAAACACATTAAGGGAGGGGTAAGAGACAAGCCTGGCTTGGGGACTGCAGGATTTACAAAGCTAGTAAAAATGTTCTTTATCAAGAGGACTCACCATCTTTTTTATGGTAGTTTCAAAATTTACTTTCTTAGTTTAAAACTTGTCTAGAATGAATAAAGGAAGAACAAATTCCAGGACATCCATTTTTATGATCAATCAGCTGATCTACCTTTCTCAGATATTGTGTTATCTGCTTAAATATATATATATATATATATATAAGAGCAAGTAATCAAACAGATGGAAGGCTTTAGAGAACCACAATGCACTAGAGAAGGGACCTGAGAGATCAGTGATGTAACTCTTTAAGAAAAAAATCAAAAATGCTTTAGAAAGTATAGCCAAATCTGAGGAGGTTTCAGGTTGGTTCAACCAAGTGGTGAGCCCAATTTAATGGGCCAGTTGCTTTAGTCAACTGATGGTTTCAGGGTGTTTCAGTAGAACTTCATTTCCTTCTCAAGTCATCCATGTGGTTCGACCAAATGTACCAACTGATCTTGGCTTTCACATGTTTGAGATGTGAGTATGTGTGGAATTGTATGTGCATGCTTGCCTGTGTCTGTATGTGTGTGTGTGTGCATGTGTGTGTGTGTGTGTGTGTGCACAGGTAGAACAGGTGGGTCCAATGAGAGAAGGACTAACTACTCCCCTTTAGAGAGCTATACTGTGTGTTGGGCATTCCTATCCCCATCTTACAGTTCCAGGTTCAGACTCAGGGAACAACAGATCCAAATTATTTGATACCTAAGTGTAGATGCAGAGACCAGAACTGAAATTCATATTATCTGACTGTTTATGCTCCTTCCACTCGAGCCTGAGGCATTCTGGTTAGTGTAGTGTACATCTGAGGTTTCTTTCCGTGAAGGGGAATTACCAGCAGACAATAGACAAGAAAGAAAATACAGTTTGTCCTTTCTGAAAGAAAGCCACAGCACCACACTGGGAAGTTAAGTAGCTTAAAAGCTCCTTGTTTGTACTTTAATATTATCTAAAAATATATTCGCTTATGTCTAGACCTTTCTCATTCAAAAATATTTGAGGCTTATAGAGAAATAAATTAGCTAATGTCTTACACACACATATGCATGTGTACATGCACACATACACACATTCTGTATATAGCAAATACATCATGCTTGTAAATATACACCATGTATATCTTGTATGTGTATATATAAAAATGTGTATAAGTATATATGTGTTTGTGTATGTGTATGTAAATGTATGCACACCTATATTCATATCTAAATACAGTATAATCTGTATTATATTACATACACACTCTGGGCATTGGGAGACAACTTCTTCTTCTTGTGGTTTTGTAATTTGGACTTCCCAATGGCACCTGGGAAAGCAAGGCAGGACCTCCGTTTGCAGGAAGGGCCTCCTTCATGTTGGCCAGACTGGTCTTGAACTCCTGACCTCAAGTGACCTGCCTGCCTCGGCCTCTCAGTGCTTGGATTACAGGCAAGAGCCACCATACCTGGCCTAATCACTATATAAAAAATTTCTAATTGTTTTTGTAACACTCTCAGAAACAAAGAGATGCCAAAGCTCAGGTGAACCTGTAAGCCATTCCTCTGGGCCACCTTGATCTTGGCAATAAAATCATAAACATCAGGGAAGAAGGGAGTCACTTAGTCCCTGCCTTTCACACCCCAAGATGACTTGCCCAATGTCACATAGTAATTCTGTTCCTAGGACTTTTGGTTCCTGAATTTCAGTTCTATAGTCTCGTTGCTATGATTACTGTCTTTGAAGTAAGTGGTTATAATACAAAATAATGACAATGTTTTTGGGATTCTAAAGAAGAAAAAACCAACAAAATCTACCCAGCAATATAACTCGCTGGCCACCAACTTCCAATGTCAGTTGACACCCAGGATATGTACCGTACAGGGTCAAATTTGCTTATTTGTTCTGTTCAGTAGAAGGCCCAAATGAATTACACAGGTTCCGAGTTAGGATTCCTGTCTCTAGTTTGGACCTTAGTCAAAATGACTTAATGTACCTAAGCTTCAGTTTTCTCACCTGTAAATGGTAATAATTCCACCCTCTTCAAATGGTTACTTTGAAACTGAAATGAAATAATGTGTGTCAGGACTGTCCGATACAAGTAGAATGTGAATCACATATGCACTCAGACATTTTCTAAGAGTCATATTTTAAAAAATGTATTTTGCATAGCCTAATGTATCTACAATGTTATCACTCTAACATATAATTACTATACAATTTTGTTTTTGAGACAGAATCTTGATCTGTTGTCCAGGCTGGAGTTCGGTGGTATAATCTCAGCTCAGTGCAAAGTGCAATCTCCACCTTCTGGGTTCAATTGATTCTTGTGCCTCAGCCTCTCAAGTACTGGGACCACAGACGTGTGCCACCACACCTGCCTAATTTTTTGCATTATATTCTTAGTAGAGATAGGTTTTCGCCATGTTGGTCAGGCTCTCGTACTCCTGACCTCAAGTGATCCGCCTGCTTCAGCCTCCCAAAATGCTTGGATTATAGGCATAAGCCACCATACCTGGACTAATCACTATGTAAAATTAGTGAGATAGTTTGCATTTTTTCTACCCAGTCTTCTAATTCCAAGTGTGTATATATTTACCCTTGTAGCACATCTCAAGGACACAGATGGCTGGTGGCAATTGACTTAGACTGCACAGAGATAGCCAGCACTGGGCACATTTGCAGTTCTTAATCTGAAAGCTCTTTAAGTGTGGAAAGCACTCTCCTGAAAACAAGATTCCTACCCACCCACAGAGTAGGAGCTTCCTGAACAGGAAAAGGACCAGGAAGGCAGGTTTGAACTTGCAGGCAGCACAAAAGGCAAATTCATTATTTTCCCTCAAGAAACACACCCAATAAAAGTAAACAAACGGGACCATTTGACAGTTGAAGCACTCGGCTGACATGGGCATGGATACAGAATTCTTCTTAGCACCTGGAGTGGAGGCCACACCCCTTGGCAATAGCAATGATCGCAGCTCCCATCTGCAGCAGTTGCTACTGAGCCAGCACTAAGCTGGCAACTTTCCAAACAGGGTTTGCTGCAATCCTCACTGCAAGTCCTCAAGGTAAATGATGTTATTATTTTAAAAAGTGAGGTTCAGAGAAATGAAGTTATGTGTCTATAAAATTAGAGGCAGTGAAAGGACTCAAATTTGGTCTAAACAAAGACAGGAACTTCACTGTCACTTTCACTTTTCTTGGCAATGCCTGCTGTTAGGGTGCATGTTGTTAATCAACTTGGCTCGACGTCTTT